TCGTGCAGCATTGTTGTACGTTTGTGACTGATTAGAATAATTATTATTTCTTGGATTATCATTATTTTGAGAATAGTTATTTCTAGAATAATTGCGGGAATTTGAAGCATTATTTTGATTAGAATACGAGTTAGGAGATCGATCTACGTGTAGGCAAGTATTGAAGTATTATGCTTGAGGTTGCATTTTTTGCACCCACTTGACATGCATTCTGATTTAATGTGGCCTGACCTAAGACAATTTCCGCAAAGTTTATGATTTCGAATTTCATTATATTTTTCAGCAATAGACAAACTATTGAATTTCGGGCAATGATAGATAAAATGATTCTGATTGCATACGTGACAATTATTACTGGCTTCTCTTCCGCGGTTTTCCATTACTGGAAACGAAAGTCTACGAGGATTTGACATTTCTCTATTCGCGTTTTTTAAGTGATAACCTCTATCAGAGTTCTTTTCAAAATGCGTGTTTTTATTTGAACCTTGTTTTACAAAATCTTGATTTACTGCTTCAAGCGCAAAGCATTTCTTTGTTAAATAGTCTGTTAAATCTGTAAGAGTGGGTAAATTATTGCCATTTTGCTTATTTTCCCATTCCCTACGAGTCCTTTCATCTAACTTTTGCAAAATCAATGGAATCAACAAGGTGTCCCAATGAGCAACTGGCAAATTTAATTTCTCGAGCGCAGCTATATGCTGATGAACAGCATCTAAAAGTTTCCTGATATGTGTGGCCGATTCTTTTATAACGTTGGGTAGATTAAACAAAATGTTATTGACGTGGTAATTTATAATAGCTATTTTATTGTCAAAACGTTTTTCCAAGAGATTCAATGCGATAGTATAATTATTAGCCGTTACGTCAGAGCTTCAATCAATTTAAGCGCCTCATCCTTACAGCAAATTTTCAAGTACAAAAATTTATCAATATCACTCAAATCAGTTCGATTATGTATGACCGAATTAAAAATGTCGCGAAAGCTGTACCAAGTTTCATATTTGCCGTAAAAACTGGGTAAACCTAAATCAGGAAGCCTGGCGACACCAGCACCTGTATTACCAACTACATTCCCGTGTGCGTTTTGTATTGTATTATTCGCGATATTTACTTTTTGTTCATTACGTTCATTTGCAATTAATCGTTTAGCCTGCGATATTAACGAGTAAAATAATGATTCAGTATCCAATCTAAAATCCTTTTCATCATTGTCTAAAAATTCTAAGCGCGTCTGTACCTGGCCAAACTCCGAAAAATCGTCCTCAACGCTTTTAAGCCTGATTTCGAGTTGAAAAATATCAATGGGTTCGTCATTGGTTCGAAGCGTTGAAGCCTATCACAAATTACTGATCTTGCGTGTAAAAATTCTTGAGTTTCAATTGCATAACATCATCATTATTATTTTTCGAGTTATTTTTCTTATTACGAGGCATTTTTATTTATTATTATTTTTTTTTATAACTTTCGATAAAATCAACTTAAAAGTTCAATGTTTCGTGTTTCGAGACGAGAAAACGAGAATTTATATACGTGAACGAGACCTGAAAAATACGTGAAACGAGGCGTGAGAAATACGTGAAACGAGACCTGAAAATTACGTGAAACGAGGCGTGGTTTAAATTCGAAGCGAAATTATGCGAGAAATAAATGATAACGAGATTACGTGCTTAATTATTACGTGCAATACAAGATTTACGTGCAATACGAGCTTTATTTACGTGCAAAACGAGATTTATTTACGTGCAATGCGAGATTTACCGCAAAAAAATGGATTAAATCAACAAATAAATTATTATTAATCACACCGAGACTATACAAACTTTCAATTATGATTGGAATCATGGACAAAATAAGAAAATATAAAGGAACGAGCTCACCATTGACGGCTTCTTCAGTATTCCACAGGTTGCAACAATCAATAAATTCACATCCGACCGAAGTGACCAAAATGATGCCCTCTACTAAGGACTTTCGAAGGACCACCCTTTATTATAGGCACAGCCTCCTACTGTTAACAAGCCATGAAGTTAAAAAGGCAACACCGCAATCTTACCGGCAAGTGGTGCTGGTGCTGTTTGTTTTTATAAATATATATTTTTTATTTTGTTAAAATCAATGACAAAAAATGCATCATTTATTGTACTAAAGGGTCAAAAACAGTAATTCAATGTATAATATAACTATTTGTGTAAATAAGAACAGTAAATAATTGATTTAAATAAATATATTTCTAAATTCTAAAGCGTTATAGGCCTAATATAACTTCCATAGTTGGATAATTTTCGACAGTTTCAGTATGTCTTTTGAAAATCTAATTCTTTCTTCGGGATTTTTTCGGAAGGCAGGTCCATTCAAATACTTGAGCTGATTTTCGTACTTTAAAGAGTTGAACGTTTTAGTTTGAACTCTCGAATTACTCCTTCATGCTTGTTTGTTTCAAATCTATTTTTTTCGGTTTCTTCAAAATGTTTACAACACACCACAGAATTTTTCGTTATGGTATAATCTCGGGTATAAATATCTTGTCTTCATTCACAACTTCTGTAATTCAGATTTTTTTTGGAAATGTTTGCATTTCTTCAGTTTTTAAGGAACTCCTATAGTTCGATTTGCACCCAGGAACACAGTAGCTTCATGGCATCTGGAACAAGTTTGAATATCTTAGGTAATATATCGAGACCTATGCTCTTGCACACAAAAATTAATATTGTTTTTATTGATTTACCTTACCTTTCCTTCATTTTTGCTCCCTGTACCCATTTGGTAAAAATTTGCAATCAAAGCACAAAGGAACAGGTATCAACTAAATATGGGCAATATATGGGTGTGTTTCTATCCACTTTTTCGTCAATAATACCCACAAAAATACTAAACTCCACCAATACACAATGAACGCAATACACAGAAACACATAACCTCGATAACAAAATAGCACCATACGCGACGTTGCCGTCATTTCCAACTTCATGGCTTGTAAGTGTAGGAGGCTGTGTTATAGGTCAAAGGGAACCCAAACACATTAACGAGAATTAATACTTTAATTGATTAACCATTTATTGCGGTACAAAACGAATTTTTAATTGATTATTAGTCAAACAATAACAACGTGATGTCGTGACATGCTCTAGAATTCGTCTCTTCTTATTGGTCGCGCCGAGCGATCCTATTGGTCGCTTGCCGTTCTTCCTGCAGCTGTTCTTGCGCGTTGCCAGATCCTTTTGAGTTGCTAGGTTTATTACGGCGTTGCCATGTTTAAGAATGTTGCTACACTTTTGTTCAATATAACAGTCTGATATAAGAAATTTGATTTGAATGTTCAAATAGATTTGAATGTCCAAACAAACACATTGTTTCTTATGACAAAAACTGAAATAATTTTTTTTCTCGGAAACCGTTAGAGATAAGCCTATCAAACTTTATATCATTGAAATCAGCGAAAGCGTAGCTTTCTAATGAACTATTAATATATAGGGTGCCCTATTGGAAAAAATCGGATATTGGTCAATATATCGAAATCGAAGCCAGACAGAAAAAAATTGAGAACGTCACTGAATTCTACTTGAAAAAGTGTTTCCAAAAGGTGGAAATGAATTATTTTCATAAACAAAAAAGTTATGGAGACTTTAAAATATTGCTCAAAATCGAGAATCGCCCTCTAGCGGCTAAACGGTTGAAGATATCAAAATGCAGTTTGCACCAATCAAGATTTCATGATATTTGAGCCTCAGAGTGGGGGGTCTATTTTTTTTTTATCTCTAAAAATAAAGGGTGTTTCCATAAGAAAGTGTCCAATTTGGCCCACCCTGTACAGTATCCGCCAAAATAAACAGTACCGAACATACAAATTATATAATTTATTCATTTGTATCATGCGTATATGTTCAAATAATGCATCATAGAGACGCAAAAAATCTTCATAACGATTCTGCAAATCATTGAAAAAATTTAATAAGAGTGGTTGGTAAAATTTTTCTGTGACTTATTTCAAACTTGAGCCTTTATTCCTTCAAACTCTGTATGACCGGAAATAGTGCTCTACTGAGAAAACTGTTTCTTCAAATGAAAGATACATAATGATGAAGCAAACCTTAACTAAAGGTCAACCTCATAACTGATGCGAAGTTAGCGAAATATGATGATTGCAACTTGCGTGCGCAATTACTCAGAGCTCTAGATTTCGGTACTCTTTATTTTGGCAAATACCGTATATGTATATTAGAGAAACTCGGTTAATACGGAGTATAGACCAGCGTTCCTTGGATAATCAGGATCTTTGGGTATTTAGATTGGCTCGGTTATTCCGGAGCTCGGATAATTGCGACTCTTACAATAGCAATAGGGGTTTTACTGTATTAAAAAGTATTTTAAAAGAAATCAATTTAAATTTCCAGAAAATTATTGAGTGTATTTTATTTTTTTAAATAAATCTGAATACACTAATAATAACCTTAACAGCTAAGTTAGAACTTGATATGATGTAAATCAATAAGAACGCTCGGAGGTAGATATTTGAATTAATTTGACATTGAAATATTATGGGAGTGAAATGTATCTTTGATTTGAATATTGTGCCTAACTAAAAAACCAGCAGACATGTTCATTTCTTTTATTGGCATTTGGCACTTTCATTACAAAAATATTTATGAACAAACTCAAATCCTATTAAGGGAAGGTTCCTAAGACTAAACAAAAAACTTTAATTCTATCAAGGTCAGTGAACATATTTACAAAAAACTATAGTAAAAATCGCAAAAATATCACATTTAGCAACGATTTTTTTAATACAAAAACACTTAATTCAAATAAACTTACTTAAAATCTACAAAAAAAACTCAATGTGAATCAAAGTGAAATAAAATCAAAAGTAAGCCCATCTCATCTTGAAACCTACTCTGAGAACTCATGATTTTTTCAATACAAAAATACTTAATTGAAACAAACTTTACAAACTTAACTCTCTCCTATTTAGGTCAACAAAAATTTTTACAAAAAAAGACAACTTAATAATTCGAACCACTTGGTAAAAGATCGGGCCTTGAACTATCATCTCCTCCACCTCCACCATCTGTATAACCACTCTGATGACTTCTACAGGCTTCAACCTCCATTTTGGAAATCACTTTGAGCACTGCCACTTTGGCCTTACAGACGAATGGCGGCGGAAATGACTTCACTGTGTACGCTATGCTTTGGAAAAACGTTTCAACGGGTTCGTGTAGGGTTCTTGGAGTTCTGTGGACCTGTAATGATGACGAAGGTTGTTCGATTTTCTTCTTTTTGGCCAACGGTTCATAATTTGCGTCATGGTCTAGATCTAATAATTCTGGATCTAATAATTCTGGTTCGTCAAGTTTGGTTGAGGCCTCTGCTTCTTCATTATTCTCATTTTTAATTTCAATCCTTGGTTCAGTCTCATCACTTGCGGCAATAACATTGGCGGTTTTTCTGGAACAATTAATTGTTTATGTTGAAATAACTTTTTACAATTTTTGAGTCAAGGACTCTTTTTTTTTTCGAGGGGCAAGGGCCTTAGCCTTATTAACCGTAAAGTGCAGCAATTTATAAGATAAATATGTTCTTTTATTTTTAACCATATATGAAATGTTGTCATTACTGACTTTTCAAAAATTTGAAAATGTCACATTTCTGTCTTTTCATTTTCCTGCTCCATTACCTGTCCCAGGACGGGAAGTGAGGACGGGAAATTTTTTCCGTTCTCATTTCCCGTCCACGGACGGAAAATGGAGCAGGGAAATATTTCCCATTCTCATTTTCTTCTTCAATTGCCGACCTCATTTGGTTGCCCCGAATTTTTTTTTTTTTTCAAGAAATTATGGTTAAAAATAAAATAGTATACAACCCTCGACGGGAAACTTCATTGCTGTCTCGAGGTTTAGTTTATCTCGACGCTACGCGTCTCGATAAACTATAAAACCTCTCGACCAGTAATGAAGCATTTCCCGTCTCGGATTGTAATATACTATTACCGGGAGATCAAAAATTAAATGAGTTTTGAGAAGGTCACTTTACAGATAGTAGTTGTTCTTTCCAACATACAAAAGCTTGTGCAGAAAATATGAGATACATTCTACAATCCACTTGACAGATGTATGACATCAAACTTATAGTGAGAGATGGCAAGTTTTTAACAACACATAGACAGGCATATATTTTACACGATTTATCTAAAGATATCGGAACAAAATTAATGCAATTTTTGGCTTCTCAGAACAAACTGTTACATGCTTGTATTAAATTCGATGATAGCAACATACAAAAAACAAAGGTCTTTCTTGATGGGCTGGCTTGATGAGACTCAATCAGGGTCCCTATTCTTGAAACAGGGAAGCAGCGTTCTCAGGAGAACGAGTGTTCTGTCTTTCTTACCCATGTTATCAATTGCATATCATTGAGAAAGACGGAACACTCAATCTTTTAGGACGCTGGTCCTCTGTTTCAAGAATAAGGACCCAGATAGATCATCTTCTAATCGACACCTAAATGTTGGACGTTACAGAGGTGCAAACATTGACTCTGAGGAATCGTTATCTCATGTGAAATACAATTCCATGACAATTGCACATCATAACTGTAGCGGCTAAGCTGGAAAATAGGAATATCGCCCTATCGCAGATCAGCAAATGAAAACCAATTGGGATAAGCCATAAGCTTACTCATAAAACAGCAGCGACTAAATTTTTTTTCGATCAGGATTGTAAAACTATCACAGAAAAATAAGGCTTACTAATTGACCTTTTGTTTGGACGCCATATTGCGTTGCGCGAACATAGTTGCCAACAGTAAAAAAAAAACTACTAGCGTTCTGTCAACTTTAAAATCCAAAGTTAGTGAATAAATTACATTCAAAATTTAAATTTGCCGCCTATTACGAATATTTTTGGAAAGAAAAGCCATCAATTTTAGGTTGTATTGGGCAGAATAGAAATAATAAAATATCCAGTTGACAGCCCGCTAGTAATTTCTGGTTTTCTTGTTTTGACAAATATGTTCGCGCACCGCAATATGGCGTCCAAACAAAAGGTCAATTAATTGGACGTTCAAAACTACCATGCTATAGAAGGATTACAAGAGCTTAGAAACCATCCAGCCTGAAGTGTGTTAACAAGAGAGATTTTTGCTATCCAATTAGGGACATCTTTATATTAAAATGAGGCAATAATGATGAGAATTTCATACATCTGTCAAAACTGGTATTCCAACAATAAATTGACATGTTTTGATTGTTGATTTGAACCAATCAGATAATTTGCACTAGTGCAAATTATCAGATAATTGCATACTAACTGGTGCGAAAACTGGTGTTTTGACATTTTTTGACAAAAAATTTAAATTTTTGATTTATGAAATTCTCTCATTAAATACAACTCGTGCAATGGAAATATATTTTTCCTACGAGCGTGCGCAAAGAAGTACTTTTCCGCACGCATTCCAGGGCTCAAAGTTACACTTTTCCGCACTCAGTGCGGATACAGGCCTTATCCGCACTGAGTGCCGAAAAGTAAAAATACTTGTCAAGCAACAATAAGTGCACCTGTCGACTTTGACACATGATGACAAATTTTTTCTCGGTTTCTATATCAGCCAACATCAATACAAACACCAAATATAAATTAACCTTGACACATTGTCAGATTTGTTCTCTATTTATATGCAAGAATCTACAAACTTTATCATCAAATTTAAATGCTTTAAGATGAACAGCTCTGACGAGGATTTTCTGTTATTTTTTTTATTAGGTAATTTTTTGATAAATGTATAGGTTCGCTTCAAGTTAATTAAAAATAATTGAACAAATTATGGGTTTAAAAAAAAAAAAAAATCTTGTTACCTACCTGATATGAAGCTCGTAGGAAAAATGTTGTTCCTAACACGTGCGCAAAGTGTCTTTTCCGCACGCAAACACGTATCCGAACTCCGCTTCGCGTCGTTCGTATAACTGTGTTTGCGTGCGGAAAAGTGACACTTTGAGCACGTGTTAGGAAAATAACTATATAATTTCCATTGCACTAGTTATATTACTATTGATAATACATAACTATGTAATAAGTTAGGAACACTTGACACTTGACACTTTACACCTACTAAGTAGGTACTTATGGTTACTTTTTAGTGCTGCCTGTTGAAGTTGAACCTGAATTTATCTCTTAATAGACATAATCAAATCTCTCTAATGTGGATAGTTGATTAGCACTAATTATTGAGACTAACCTGCTTGGTTCCTGTTCCATTTTTTTCTTATTCGCCTCCATTTCTATATCGCTAACTACTCGGAGCACTTCCGATTTAATTCTGCTAACAAAAGATGGCGATAAATTCATAACGGTCCTGGCCATACTATCGAAAAACATTTGAATCGATTGACGTTCAGATTCGTCTAATTGATCAACATTTTTCAAAGCTATCTGGTCTGGCTCCTCTGCGGGTTCTTCCTTTATAAAGGGCAACGTTGGTTCTACATAAGTATCAGATGTGAGTGGATCATTTTCGATTATCAAAGGCTCATTTTTGATTTTCAAAGGTTCCTCTTCGATTTCGATTTTGACAACAGATGCGTCTACGGGAGTAGGTTGAAGGTCTGGCAAAAAATCAGGAACGTCTGAGTATGAGTCGTCTTCTTCCTCCAAGGAGCTGCAACAAAAACGTTTTTTTATTGTTTTTTTTTTTTTGTGCCCGTGGCAATAATGTGTTAGGAAGGCAAGATATCCAGTGCCGGATTTACCAATTTGCCGCCCTACGCCTGTTTTAGGCGCGTACTCAAAAAATTCAGATGGGGTGGCGGTTTCGCTATTGAAATTAAGAAACATTGCATGACCATAGGGATAACAGGAAAAAAATTGCGCCGCAGGCGAACATTTTGTAGAATTTCAAGGTCAATGAGTTATATGAGAAAAATAAAATTTTGAGGTGAAAAAGTATATGCTAAAACATAGGTTTCGTGTTTCGTGGTTTTTAATTATATTTTCTGGGGGGGGGGGGGTTTAACCCCTAAAACCTCCCCCGTGGCTACGCCCCTGGCCTGTTTAGAAAGGCCGTCCTCATGTGGGCACGAGCGGCGCGTGCCTCAAAAAAAAGGGGGGCCAAGAAGATACAGGATACAGGACTAGTACACGGACAGTAGCGTACCCATAGCCAGGCTTTTGAAGGCGGAAGGGGCAAACTCAACAGGGACGCCAGGATTAAACGAAAATCATTTTGGGTGCCACTCCCAAAAACGTTTATTTTGAGGCTTTTTTCATTTTTTTTTTTTCTGTACTACCTACATTTTATTACCTAAATTTGGTATACACTATTTTGATCTGTGTGTGTTTTTTTGTTCGATTCATTTTTTTCATATGCACTTTTTATTTTTAAAACCGACGTTTACAGGCTTTATAATTTTTTTGGTAGGTATCTATTATTTGTGCTTTGTTATTTTTTATATTTGTTATAATATTGTTCGAATTTATCAAAATTCAAATAAAGGTCCAACCTGAAACAGAACCGCGTTTCGCGTTGGATCTTCGGCTTTCTTTTCCCGATTATTTTTTGTCTTTTTCTGTTTTTTTTTTTAATTTTGCCGCCTCCCCAGATTTGCCGCTATACGCCTGTGCGTATAGGGAAATACAGCACTGAAGATTTCATCAGAAAATAGCAATAAATTCTTACCTAAAGTTGTCATAATTTGTAAAATCCCTTGACGTGGAAGCCACTGCGCCATCATCGGCAGCGTTGTATTGACACTCGAAAAAATGAGGATCCACATTTGCCTTCGATTTTTTCGTTACGCCACTGTGCTCGCCTTTGGTAGAGATTTGCATGTCTGGTTCCAACTGTAAAAAAAAAACAACACTTTCAGTATTGGTACAGAATTTAAAAAAAAGTGTGTATAACTGTGTATGTGGGATCCTAATTAAGTGGTCTTGTGGGATAAAGTCATAAAATTAAACCAAACACTTAAATTTTTGTATTGACAATTTTATTTCGCATTTTGATAAATTACCTATACTCGAAACTCGAAAAAATTCGCAAGCATTTGTAGTTTTTTGAAGCAATGCTGAATGTTCTACCCATATACCTATGTGGAGAAAACGTAGAGTCACTGTTAACATAATTTTCGACAAGACAATCGCAGAATTTAATAACCTTATCGTCTTCTGGTTTTATTTCGGCCAAGTCAAAAGCAAAAACGTCTTCTATATCTTTTTTGGATCGAGGAACGCTAAACCAAATAATATGTCAAAAATGTTGATCTTTTTTTTTATTTGTGTATCCTCCCCTGGATTGGCGCAAATGAAATCTACAACCCCGAATGGCGGTTTGTGTAAATGCCTGAGAGATTGCTTTATGAATTGCACTCTCAAAATCTGCTGATCGTAAATAACTGTAAAAAGTAAAAGTATTTTGGGCAGTACCATTGACGTACAAATGTGATGCAGAGGACAAAAAAAATAAGTTTGTTTTACAAGAAAAGATAATGATGTTCTCTTTATGGTTTTTCAATTCATTAGGATTTGTTAAAATAGGAACTGATTCAATGGAATTCTGATATATTTTTGGGAAGTTTTATCAAAGATGACGCGACCTTACTCTATGGATATTTTTGCGTACCATTTCTATGTAGTTGGTTGTGATGGTGTCCATTTCCGAATTTTTGATTTGTGTTCTTATTAATTTTTCACTTGCTGCACCTTTTACACTATTACCTAATTGTTTTCTGTTTAACAAATTTTCAGACAACTTTTGATGATTGTGATCCAATACATGTTCGATTATAGTGTCACCGGAATAGTTTGTTTTCAAAAATGCTTTACATGTTCGCTTTTTACACTGCCACCTTCTCAAAGTATTTTTGGCCAACATTTTTTGATAGCAAAACGTATAACCACCAATTTCAATTAAAGTTTGATCTCTTTCACTAGTCAAAAATTTTATGTCCATTTTTACAACTGGTTTACTATAAACGATGAGAACTAACTGCTATAAATAAATGGTCTTAATAGGATGGTAAAATACTAACAGGTAGGTAGGTATTAGTAATATAGGTAATAATTTATTCATAGAGGCGGGTTTAAACAACATTAACAATTTGAAAATATACACTTGGCAACATTGGTTTTCATTATGGCAAATATATACCTGAAGTTAAAATTTGTTCCGGGATGCAATTCGGATGTTATAGTCTATTTGTTTGAGCGAGACCATTAGGTAAATTTATGTGAAACTGGGACCAAGTGTTCACCTGGGAGCAAACTAAATTTCTAATTTTTGATAAGAATACTATCAAGGTGTCAGCAAATCATTTGCATTTTTGTGATTCTATTCAACAGGAATGGATAGACTGCAGGGGCAGACACAGGCCTTTCGAAGGGGGGGGGGGGAGCACTTCAAGTTGAAGTAAGCCAGATTGGGTTAGTTTGGGTTAGTTTTATAGTTTTGGCAGCGCATTGTGCAAGATACGGGTTTTCGAAGAAATGGCCCATAAAAATATGGGAATGGGGGAACTATTTAGAGGAGAATAAGGTAATTTTAAATAAGTAGGTACAGGATGTTTTTTTATATATTGACACGTCACCTACAGCCTTTACCTTTACAGGTAAAAGAAAGGTGTAAATCCAAAAGTTGTACAGTTTCGGCTGAATTTCTAGGAATCATGGTCAGAAACAACATTTGAATGTCAGAAATGTGAAATTTTGCATGCTTCCAGCTTTTTTCAAACTGGATGCCCTATATTTTATTCTATATTCTTGAAGAACACAATGCCCCGATTCCAAAAACATATAGTTTGTCTATATTTGTTTGAACAGTCTCTCAAATATTCATATTCGGCTCCAAAAATTGTAAAAATACTATCCTACTACCATTGCCTACTACTGATTTTATGAACGCTGTGTCTAGAATCCCGGTACCGGTAACACATTTTTTACCGGTAGTTTTGATGCCGTCACCCATATGACGCACTAGGTACCCGGGATTTAAACAAATCCCGGTAAAAAATGTAGTCGCTGGCGGTTTCTGTTTTATCAAAGTCCAACTTAACCTAACTTTTTATGTTTTTAACTTGTTTTGTTGATGTGTGAACGTAAAGTGGAGTGTTTTGATGAGTTTATCAACGTGAAATTACTTTTTAAATGGTTTTTAATGTAGGACAAACATTTAAAAGTTATAAAGAAGTGGAAGAGACTTTGACATGTGAAATATGCCAGTTTGTGTAAAATCCCCAGATGTGGTATTGTTCTGATTGCAAACTTATAAAAAAATTTATAAAAAATGAGAAATATTTATTTTAATCTACATCCTAAACAGTATAGTTACATATATTGGCATGAAGTAAATTAATAAATACTAAATTCTATTATGAACTGCTATATAAAGTGTTTCATTTTAAATTTGTTTAAATTCTCAGGGGTTTTCCGAAATACCAACCTTAATTTACTATCATCTGATTGCAGATTACTTCTAATCTGGGATGAGTTGTTCGACATTTCCGAACGCAAATGCAAATCATTTAGGTATATTAGATATTTCGAACCTAACTAACTTTTATGGTTTGAAATGTTCCAAAAAAGTGACGAAAACATTAATAAACTAACCTAAAATACCAATTAGCTGATAAATAACGATAAAAACAAAATCAAAACACCGGGATTCACTTAAATCCCGGTACAAGTGCGTCATATCGATGACGTCATCAAAACTACCGGTAAAAAATGTGTTACCGGTACCGGGATTCTAGACACAGCGTTTTACGAATCATTCTACCTATATGTACAGTGTGGTCATTTTATCTTGATAACATTTTAAACTGTCATAATTTCTTTATTTTTAAAGTTATTTAAATGAATAAAAAAATCTACTGTAGGGTTGCTTTCCGAGTTTTAGATAGGGTGGACACAAAACAAACGACTTATATATTTTGACAGTTATGCGAACAAATAGCATTTTTTCAAATGGAAAACCTAGTAATTTTTAGTTTGTTTGATAATATGTTTCATTCTGATTGCAATATATACAATACAATACAATTGAATACAAGTCACTCTATATTTACATGCAGAAATGTTTTAATTATTCTAACTGAAAATATTGATTACCTACACAGATTACCTGCAAAGGTAGGTAGGTAGACAGAATTTTCCATTAGAATAAATAAAACATATCTGCATGTAAATATGAAGTGAATTGTATTGTATTGTATATATTGCAATCAATAGGAAACATATTATCAAGCAACTAAAAATTTACCGGGTGTTCCATTTGAAAAAATGATATTTGTGTGCATAACTGTCAAAATAGATTAGTCTTTTGTTTTTTGTCCACCCTATCTAAAACTTGGAAAACAACCCTACATTATGTTTTTTTATTTATTTAAATAACTTCAAAAATAAAGAAATTATGACAGTTTGAAATGTTATCAAGATAAAATGACCACCCTGTACAGGTGAAAGCTGCAGGTAAAATTTGAGGTACTTGTTTTCTCTGATAGTACTTTTAAAATTTTTAGAACCAAATATGTTGGAGACGGCTCAACCAAATATGGACAAACTATATAGTTTTGGAATCGGGAAATTGCGGTCTTCAAGAATATAAAATCAAATATAGGGCATCCCACTTGAAAAAAGCTAAAAGCATGCAACATTTCACATTTCTAACATTCAATTTTTTTTGTTTCTGACCATGGATTCAAAAAATTTAGCTAATACTGTACAACTTTTGTATTTACACCTTTCATCTACTTGTAAAGGTGAAGGCTGTAGGTGGGGTGTCAATACATAAAAAAACACCCTGTACTTGAATAATAACTTATTACATAAATACAGGGTGTCCCACGGTGGATGGCGTATTAGACGTTTATGGAGAACTAAAAAGCGGATCATTTTGAAAATTTGGCAACCGGGATAAATGACCGTAATCTACACTTTAAAAATATTTTTGTTTATGCGGTGTTGCCGCTTCTACTCTAAACCAGTGGCAACATCGCTATTTTAAATGAAACACCCCGTATTTAATTGCATATATGGATTCTACATAAAATTCTGAGCAGATTTTATGTGATATACCCTATACCTAAGTTCAACTGTTTTGGAAATATACACTTTCGTCATTTGGGTTGAAGTCAGACGACTTTTGCAGTTTTTTGTTAATAAAATCTACAATTAAAAAAAAAAACAAAAAAAAAATAATAATTAAGAAACTTCCATGTCTCCTTTGTCAAATTACATACTAAAACTAACGACATTTGTATTCCCCCTCTTTTTTTAAGTAAGTTGTGTGTCCGCCTTCACCCCTATACGTGGGGTAAAGGCAAAAGACCATTTATTAAGCATTACAAAGTGTCTTAGCCTCTAGTACGGGGTGCAGTCGGACAGAAAAAAAAATAAAAAATATTTATAGCAAAATATTATAAATTTTTGGGTAAAAAAAAATACAAACGGGTTGTCCGCCATGATTCTTCGTTTTTATTCCCTTTTTCTTGTCATGTAAGGTGGATTTGGGAACCCCATAATACTCAGAAGCTTGTCTTATACTTTTTCTGCCTCGTCTAATATCTTCGAGTGCTCTAGCGACGTTTTCTTCATTGTAATTTTTGAAATTAGAGCCGATTTTCTTCTTATAGCACCTAACCATAGTGTCCGCCTTCCCCCCTATAAAATGACTTTTTTCACTAATTTTTTACATAGTTTCAGTATTTCCTAGTACACAACAGTTCCTTTTTTGGTTTTCAAATTCTAAGAAAACAATAAAATTTACAAAATTCTTACCACGTGCTCTACGGCGAATTTATCCAGCAAAAATGCACCACTTTCAACGACACTCGAGCTAAACTAAGCGGAATATGCCGGTTTTGGGCGTCTCGATACCCGATATCGTAAAAAACGCCGGTCAATACCTGTCTGTCCGAGTTTACCCCCTCAGTCCGACTTCACCCCAAATGGCCCAAATGACGGATATCACATGCAGTGTTGCCAGATTTTGATTTTGAAATTATGGTACATGAAGGTCAAAATTATGTGTTTTGAAAAAAAATTATGGTATGGTACACATTAATTTTTGAATAAACTTTATTAGAACTGTGACAGTGACAGTTTTTTTATTGTGACGTGCTGTCCGCTGACGTGAGTGAGAGTGAGATAGAAAAGAACGTCAATGCCACTGCGGCTCGACAACCGATCAACCGTCCACGCAACCGAATTTATGACGTCACGCATAACTCTCAAACTTCTAAACAGCAAAACATGACAAAATAAAAGAAGAAGTATTCTAAAGTTAAGAAAAATACAAAGAGGTCAAAATTATGGTAAATTATGTATTATTGCATTCGCGATTTTACTTTGTATTTTTCTGCAAAATTATGATACTAATACATAATTATGGTACGCCTGGCAACACTGATCACATGAAATCTGTTCAGAGTTTTACGTAGAATCCAAATATGCAATCACATATAGGGTGTTTTATTTGAAAAAACAAAGTTGGTCTGGATAGCAAAGAAAAGAAACCAGAAATGACAGAAACAATTCGTTTTGGTAGAAAAGTGGGGAATAATTTACTGAGCAACTTTCATTAAGGTCACTTTTACGTATACGAGGTAATTAAAAAGTTACAGGTATGATGCGCGACTTTTTTGCCACTAGTAGGTATAGTTTGCCTACGTTTGGTTGAGCAGACTCTTATTTGGCTCTAAAAATTGTAAAAATACTATCCTACTGACTTAAATCTTGTATTTTAGCTGGAATATGTATAATTTGTAATGTAACGTAAGTTTCCGTTTGAAATTACTTAAGTTTTTCTAAAAATATTGGGGTGAGCTTTCTTTATAAAAGGATTAATTGAAGTATTTTTGAAAAGATTAACAGTCATTGGTAGTGCGTATAATGTCAGATCAGCTGAATTGTGAGCCCAAAGCAAAGGTGGAAAATTAAGTACATAGTCATCTGTCAAATAATCTGAATATAATCGTTTTTTGGTGCTTTTGCGTTTGCTCTAACATTTCAAGATTAAGTAAAAACTGCTCATGTTTATGGGTTCAAATGTTTACCTCGTTCTGAAGATCTAAAGTTTCCTCAGTATTTTTTGACAAACTTGACTGTATTCTTTTTCGAGCGTTGTAGAGATTTCTTCGAATTGCAGCAAAGTCCGATGCAGTTATAGTTGACGGCAGGTTTTCTTGAAGTACCCTGCGAATGATTTTGGCCGGCTTTTCGAAAAAGGTCGTCCGCAGCTTTTCTTTTGCAGCTCGTATTAACAATTTGCCGGTTCAACCTTTCCACATTCGCATCGTGGCAATGTTCCGGTTCGTGCTTTATAACCGTAAACTTTATCACTTTCGCCCAAAGTTAGCACGAATGATTTGCACTTTCTATTTGTGCAACTCCACCGCTTCTCATCACTACTTTTCAAATGCTTCTGAAAACTATACTTATAGTTATCAATAACCAATAACGGCTTTCCACGTATACTCGAAATTATTTCGAGATTCATAATAGAAAATATTATAGGCAGTTGACGAACTTCAAACACGAGCGGTAACAACACATAAACTAACTATAACTCGAGCTATAACTTATTACCTAAACCGCACACCACACTCCCAGATATCTAATTAATATTCATGAGAACCAATGTTCCAACTCTCTTTAGGGGTTTCGGTACCAAATTACATATTGGGTAACAAAAAAGGGGCTAGCACCTTTTTTATTTACTACCTGCTAGGAACCAAATGACCAGCACCTTGACCCAAATTTTGAAACTTGTTAGAAACAGCCGAATACTACTCAAGAAAAAAAAATGTGGTTTACTTGTTAGTTTTTTCAAAGTTAATCACTATTTCATTTAGATTGAAGATTAAAATAAATTGTGAATTTCCTCGATTTTGGACTTTACTTATCATAAAAATTCTGTGCCTCTATTCTTGAAACCGATAGAAGAAATATTTGCTTCCTGGGACTTTATTCTCGGAGCAGGGGAGCAGCGTTTTCATGAGAACGAAGGTTATGTCTTCGTCGTCCGTATTTATATTTCCATAACAATGACAATGACAGAGCAATCGTTCTCATGAGAACGCTGTTCCTCGGTTTCGAGAATAAAGTCCCTGAACAGCTCCCATCTTTTTCTACTTCCACATTATTCTCTCGGTTTTTAAAAATACCTATTCTTGAAAGGAGGGAGTACCTGGAAGGGAGTGAAAATATGTCTATAGTTGCCAAGTGTTGAATTCCAATTCTGTCAAATCATAGCTTGGAAGTTTCTGAGAGCCATATAGGCATGTCAAAAGCGTCAATTTTTTCCAAACTCTCAATTAGGCTCTTCAAACCACGTGATTTTTCAATATGGCGTCTGTGGGATTGACGTTTTTTTTTTGTTTATCTTGAGTTTATTTGGAATATTTTCGAGCTAATTAAAGTTTACTTTGTTATAATATACTTTTTATCATACGCTCCCAAAAACAGCTATTTTACGGACTCATTCAAGTCCGTAAAATGCTTCTTTTTAGGATTTTTTTTTTCTTTCTGGATGCACCTTTATGATTTCAAAAATTAAGGAAATTTTGCAAATTTTAGCGTTCTGAAGAATTCAAAAAAACGTATGACAAAAAATAGTGTTTGTCACACGTACCTAACGACGTTTTTCAGGACTCATCTGCTATTCCGGACTCGGCTACCGCCTCGTCCGGAAACAGCAATGATTCGTTTTAGGTACTTGTGACAAAAATAACTATTTCAAGATGCAGAGTGTATAAAGCTTTTAATGCAGGAAAATCGGGATTTGGGCAAAGGGCAAGGGCAAAGGGTAAGTTTGAACTACAGTTTTTACAGCAATGAGCAAATGAAGGCCTACAAAAGCTTAGATTCTTACAAGTATTTTGAGTATGGCTTTATTTTAGATGCAGGGATAGTGCTACTGAATAATGTTCACGTTTTAATAGGAAAAGTTTAAAAGGGTGAGCACTGAAAAAAACCTGACATCATCCCTGTTGAAACGACATCCACAATCAACTACAAGACACCTTTGTGGCATTTTTAAATGGAAAAAAACACTTATGAAGTCAATAGCTCTGTTCCAACCAACATGAGAACCGTTTCAGAACCAGTAATTTCCAGTTATCCACCTTTTTTTTCAATACGTTGAACGTTTATCCTACTTGACAAATGAATTGATCGACTAGATATTACTAGAACGGTTCTCATGTCTAGAACGATTCTCATGTTGGTTGGAACAGAGCTATTAAAATAAAAAAATAAATACAGTTCAGTCACAAAACAACCATACCTTAAAAAGCTTGAAATACTGTACTCTCATATACGGGATAATTAACTGCCGCCTACGACGTTATTTTGGAATAGTTTTGAGAGGTCGCTGGAATGCCTGACGTCACACACAATATAATAACCTGACTTTCAATTGGGAGACAGCAAAGCGGACCATTTAAAAAAGTACGCAAATAAATGTGAATATCGTGTGTTTGTCACAAATACATGCTTGTCCCCCTATCGAAAGTGACGTTATGTGATTTGTGAAGTTATAGCACGTTATAGCTAGCGCCTAACTGATGTGTGTAAATAGCACTGATCTCAAAAATAAATGGATAAACAAACAACGCTTCTAATGCTGCTAATTTACGAGGTCAAAATCTAAACAAAAACAACTGACTGGGACGGCTGTGAGCGTGCGCAGTAGATACATGTATGGTGCGTGCACAAAATCTGGCCAATGAAAATGAAGGAATTTAAAAATTTAGAACAGTTGTTCGAAAGATAAGACACTGCGCAGGCGTTAGGTTGTTCAGTTGCACAACGGTTCGTAGAATATTGATCCCAAATTTTCGCACAAATTTTGCCAATCAAGCGGTATGATTGCTTATCCATTTATTTTTTAGATTAGTGGTAAATAGTCATTAAACGCTTTGTTTGTCTTCCCATCGGAAATGAGGTTATGAATTCTTCCATGTGATTGTGCGTTGTGTTTGTTGTGTTTTTTATAATGATCTTATTTTCATGTTCATTAAATTTTAATTTCTAATAAAAAATGAGCAGAAGCAGGAAGAAATGCTAGTGGACTTTTATGCAAAAGACCTGAAATGTGTTCTGGAAAATTCACTCATATATTTACAAGGGCTCGGTACCAATCTCCAGAAAAAGTTGTACAAAGGCCCCTATAATATTTAAATGGAAATTGGTTACCCGTTACCCATGATATTTGGATGAAATTTAAATATGTTATTGGGGATGCCGGCCGTAAGCAACATTTTTTCCATGGGCGCAACCTTGTATATACGACAGATGAGGCGGTGTCAGCTGTCAAATATTGGAATCTAATTGCGTTTCCGATTGGTAGATCTAGTGCAATTTTTTTAATTTCTCTCTTTGTCTTCTACAGTTCGATTAAAAGGATGCAAATACATTCAGTGCGCATTGAATACCAAATGGGAGCGCAATAATATTTCAAAAGCCGAGTAACTATGACAGATTTTGATGAAGTAAATATCGATTCCTACAAAGTCGACCCAGGTGAATCAAAAACTGTCAACCATTTTGACATATGTCAAGCACTCATATTTTTCAGTTTTCAATATTTAATGATGTGTCATTTTCATTTTCAACTTATGTAAATTATGAGTTGATTGATTAAAAAAAACATACTGTCAAAACCTGTCATTTGTTTTAGTAGAAAAAAAGATTTCAATCTGGTTCTTTTTCATTTTAAGGTAGTTTATTGGTGATAAAACATCAGCTGTCAAAATCTGGAATCTGTGTATAAAGTTTTTCATACTTCATCATAAATAAGCATAACTTATTGGAACAGAACTAGATTTGTATCTTTTTTCAATTAAAGCTATTGTCAGATTCTGACAGCTGCCAAAATTTGATATTGAAAAAGAACCAGATTGAAATATTTTTTTCCACTAAGTAAAACAAATGACATGTTTTGACAGTTCTGTGATTTTCTTTTCAAATTTTGAACTCAGAATTTATATAAATTAAAAATGTGAAATGATACCTACATCAGGTAATATTGAAAACTGAGAAATATGAGTGCTATCGTTTGGCAGGGGTTTGACAGATGTTAAAATGGTCGACATATTTCGATTAACATTGGTCGACTCCGAAGAAATCGATATTTACTTCATTAATGGCCGTTTCCACCAACCATTTTAGGGGAGCCCTAACGATAAGTATTCCCTAAAATGACATTTTTCATGGAGAAATGTCAGTTTAAGGCATACCTATCGTTAGGGCTTCCCTAAATTAGTTGGTGGAAATGGCCATAAGTTACTCTGCTTCTGAATATGTATTAGATTCCAATATTTGACAGCTGACGCCGCCTCAGCAGTCATATATACAAGGTTGCGCCCGTGCTAAAAAATGTTGCTTATGGAATCCGCAATAATATATTTAAATTTCATCCAAATATCACGGGTACCTAACCTCTGAGCGCGTAACCAATTTCCATTTAAATATTGCTTTGTGCTCCGATAATCTAAAAGGATCCCTTTGAAGCAGAATATCTCTTCCAATTTCTACCTCCTCCATAGCTTCCTCAACATGATCATTCATGATATTATTCCAAATTAACATTTCATTGATATCGTCCACTGTTTTTCTAACTAATGATATCACAAGAACTTCAAGAACACACTTTGAAAAATTAGGGTTGCGAGTGTGTGTTTATTTATATTAGCACTCCCTGCCAAATTTCTCTTACTTATGACCAATAGAATTTTCAACTTCCTGAGGGAAAAAAAATTCCAGAACTTTCCATCGAAATATTTTAAGAATAGCGTTATTTTACATTTCTGGGAGCCACGCCTACTTTCACTCGTAATTTCTACTTCCTGGAACCCAAGAATCGGGGCCCAGTGGTAGAAAATATTGTATATTTTTCTTGAGCGCGTTCTGAAATTTCAGGCTGCTTGCCTACATAACGACAAACCTGTATATGATATTTTTTGCTTGTGTTATATATATATTTCAATAAGAGCTATGTCACAGGTAGGACTCAAATGCTATACCTTAACAACTTTACATCTTCTCAAATCTTAGTATCATCAGGCGTCCCCTACGGATTCGTACCTGGGCCCCCTTCTATTTATCATCTCTATTAATGACATTTCATCTTGTTTTAAGCATAGTATTTTTCTTCTGTTTGCCGATGACTTAAAGCTGTTTGCTAAAAATAACCCCTCCAGAAGACTCTTTAGCGCTTCAAGAAGATCTAGACAGATTGTCACAATGGTGCCATGGATTTTAATGTTTTCAAATGTAAAGTCATTGAATCTCACAAGTCAATAATTTTGTCACATTGATGATAGTCCATTAGGCTGCGTGGATCAAATCAATGACTTAGGTGTGCTATTAACCTCATATCTAGATTTTTCAGCTCATATCGACAACGCAATCACACACACAAGGGGCTTCTCGAGCATTAATACCATAAGCATTTAGTACTATTCCTATGTCACATCACATTTAGAAAATGCTGCTTCAGCGTCTCTCAATTATGCATGCCATATCCATCGAAATGAAACTGTTCAGAGAAAATTCTGCAGATACATTAACTACAAATGTTACGACAATAATATTTCATTATTCTGACTTATGCACACTTAACGAATCTCTCCTGCAAAAGAAAGCAGAGAGTCCCAATACTGATTCAAGATCTCATAAACTTAATATAGATAGATACATTGTTTTGTCTTATTATTTTCAGTATTTTAACTGGATTTCTAACTGGATAGTTATGCAATGGCCTTTCTGAAATACTGGGCAGGTGTTTGCAGATTAGGCAAACTGATTCTAGTATGAAAAGGGAAGGGAGTGTTAATATTTTATATTTTTTGAAAAAATCTTGGCAATGGGCTCTATTTTTCAATTTCAGGGAATATCTAATAGCTCTTCTCTGTAATTTCAAGATACTCTTTAATTGAGTCGCACGACACGAACCCCAAAATGGATCCGCTCTTCCATTTTGGGGTTCGTGCTGTGCGACTCAATTTAAGCGTATCTTTAAATAACAAAAAAGAGCTATTCGTGTGGGATTCGAAAAGGGTAAAGTAGACTGTTCTAGAAGTTGACAAGTTAAGTTCCTTGGAAACCGATCTTATCGCAAAATAAGCGGAACTAAATTTTTTTGTTACGGAATCGATGTGCGAGGTTCCATTTCAGGGAGTTGTCTATAATAGGGCCCAAAAACTTTACGGAATCAACGAGGTCAATAGTAGTAGTGGTATTAAGTACAACAGGTTGCAACGTACTTCTACAGGGTGTATCAGGTTTGACTACAAAAATTTTTACACATGTAAATATGGCCTATTTTTAACAAAAAAAGTTTATACAACATGGGGTCCAAACAAAACCATTTTTAAGAGAAAGGCCTTTGAAGTTTTGACATTTTTTAACGAATATTTTAAAGGTGAAGAAAATTTTAATCATTATGAGATGTAGACGTTTAGTTTATCCAATTATTAAATAATTATGCATTTTTAGTCAACAACAATAACAAAAAATTGAAAAAACAACACACAAATTTCACTTGTAAATGGGTATCTGAACATCTGGCAACACAGCACAATAAAGAATAGGTAGTTGAAGGTTGAACCTTGGTGGAGCTGAATAAATTGATTCTTGATTTTTCTTGTCTAGTTGGGAAACGCGCGTAATTCAAATTTATTCTTTTTTGAAAATAAAATGTTCAGAAACATCGAATATGCAGATACTTGTTTAGGCAGAATCGTTCCAAAAGAAAAGCACCCACCTGATGAAAGAACATTGTGCCCGTTTTACAAAGATTGCGTGATATAGGAAGTGTGAGTTGTGAGTGTGCAAAATCTGCGTGTTAATTTTAGTGTTTGATAACCTTTTAATAAAAATTTATATTTTCATATTAAGGATTTGACAAGTAGCTGAGTAAGTATTGTTTGATTTTTCTCTTGAATGTTTAGTGCAAAAATGTCATTGAGTGCAATTCACTTATAATAAAACGGCACATTTTTTATTTTTACTAAAAAAGTGATAAAAATGCAAGTTATTATTCACATTATTTGAAAGCCAATAACAAACCAACACGTAAACAGATGGAAATAAATAGACTCTGTGCAAAAAAAAAAACTTTTTAAATTTACCAATTTTATTTACATTTATATCCTGGCAGAGATAATACCTGTACAATGTTTTCACGTTGTTAACATTTTTCTTTAGTTTTCGCAGTGTTAGAGTCGCACCATAATTTAATGGCTAACAAGTCATTGGACATGATTCTATGAAGACCTATAATATCGGGGTAGCTCCAAGTGAAACTAGTATCATCAGCCAAAAGATAGATTTTACCCAGTGGCGGCTCGTGGTATAACATATTGGGGGTGCACATAATTTGTAATTCATAATAAATGCCGAAAGGGGGATGCCCGCCGGAGGCGCAAAATTATTCGGGGTGCCACGCCCAGAAGTGTTTATTTTAGGCCTTTAAAAAAATAATTTATTGTAAGTGATCGTATGAGTTATGTGATGTGTTTACCTACCAATAATTAAAAATATTGTTAAGGGATTTCATATCTACCCTACCAAACAACCAACTAAGCTCAATTTAATACTTTTTTCGGTCTATCAAATCGTGGAAATTGAAGGATCTTATATCAATAAACTAGAAATTAAGTAACAAAGTAACTTACCTCGCTGAGTACATCGTCCTGGTCTAACAATTGTTTTTATACATAAATGTATTATAGTTTTCAATCTCACAATTCTCACAGACACGTTTTGTATTGAAAATGAAGTCGTCTGTCCTTCTTTGAGATAAATTCTTCAATTACCAGTTCGTTAAAATTTGGAATTTCTTGAATCATTTGTTTCTCAATAGATAACATTGCGAGGGCAGTTAGTCCCTCCTGTCCCATTGTACTTCTAAGGAAAGTTTTTATCCGTTTTAATGTGGAGAAGCAACGTTCCGCTTCTGCGGTTGTCATAGGCATTGTTATAATCGCTTGAAGCACTGAAAATGTTTCAGAGAAATCTGCTTGCAAATTATTTTCAATTAAAAACTTAAGAAAGTAGACTGCTCCAGAAACTTCTCCAAAATCTCCTCTTCTGTATATTATTTCCAATTCTGTCTTTAATTTGTTTTTATTCAAAAATGGAAAGTTTCGAACTGCTGAATCTAAATGTTGCATAGGAAAATTTGATGAATACGTTTCAAAATTTTCCACTGAAAATAAGTGTGCTATTTCCAAATGGCCTGTGAATGAAAACCTTTTTTTTTATTTCTGCAATTATGGTGTCACACACTTCTTTAGCTTGTACAGTCGTGGAAACATAGGAATTTCTCTCATCCATCTTTCTTCTTTTCCTAGCTTGACTCTCATCAATATCTGCTAACTCGATTTCTCTAATAGTATGTATATTATCTCTTTCTTTTTGAATATTTTTTTCAAACTCAGTAATGTTACGTTTCACAGTTACGGAATCAGTTGCCCTTTTTTGTAGCTGTGAATATAAAATATCAACGTGGGGCATCACACGATGAAACACTGTTAACCAAAAAACAAATTTACGGTCATGTAATAACCTTAAAAGTGCACCTGCCTTTCTGATGGTATCAGATTGTCTGGATGTAGATTGTATTTTTTCCATACACTCTAGAAGTGATTCTTTGTTTTCATAAACAGTGTTAACGGTTCTGATTTTGAAGTTCCACCTTGTAGCAGATGCTCTAGGAACCCTATTTCCAACCACTTCATCTAATATGGCCACTCTTTGTGGAGAATTTGAAAAAAAATTGGTAATGTCACTCAGATCTGCAAAAAATATACGTACATTTGCATTTATGCTTGTCGCCTGAGACATTATTAAATTCAATTGATGCGCATAACAATGAATATAATGGGCATATTTAAATTTATCTTTAATAAGCTTCTGCACACCACCATGGGCGCCACTCATGACACTTGCTCCGTCATAGCTTTGGGAGATTAACTGATCAGGATTTTTTAAAACATAATTTAAAGATTCTTTTATGCAGCCAGCTAAAGCAACAGCATCGTGATCATTTGGTTTTTTAAAAGTCCAAAATCGTTCAACAGGTGTGCCGTTTGGTAGAGTATAACGGTAAACTATAACCATTTGGAAAATATTTGAAATATCACTTGTATCGTCACTCATAACGGAAACAAAATTTGAAGAAGCAATTTCTTTTTTGATATTTGCTTGACAGACCGAAAGCATACATTCCAGTAAGTCATTTTGAATGTCTTTTGACAGTTTTGACGTGCCTTTAAACACGGTAGCTTGCTGCAAATGATCCCTCAGTGCTAAGTCCAATTCGGCAGAAAAATTTATGAGGCCTCTAAATATACCTGGGTTCAATGAATCTTTTTGTTCATCGTGTCCACGGAGAGCAAGTTCAAAAGCACCACAAAATTTAATGCAGTTGATAATTTTAGATAAGACATACCGATTATTCTTTACTTGCTCGTTATGTTTCTCAATGCTTAATCGGTATGCACTATTTAATTGCTGCCGAATATCTTGTTTGCCCAATAAATTAAATCCTAGCTTAGCAGTAAGATGTGATTTTGAGTTTTGATGTTTTTTAATTTTTTCGGATAAATGTACTAAATCTTTAACGCCGGATTTTGTCCATTCTGATGCTTCATCGCTTCCAAATAACAAACAGGGAAAACAGTAAAGACTATTACTAACATCACAACCGCACAACCAGTCAGTTTTTCCGTAAGTTTCCATTTTAAAAGTTCGTTTATAATCACGACTTTTGCATTTTGTTATGTTGGTGATTATTAAATTTGGCTTTGGACGGCCGACACATTTGATTTGGATTTTTTCCTCCAAAGAAAGCGAAGAAAATTTAATTGTTTTTAAATATTGCACGCTAAGGCTATCGGGGTTCAGAAATCCCGCCATTCTACACACAGTTTTCAGTTAAATCGCGCTCGAAATCGAAATAAATATTAAACAACCACTCCCGATCCCAAAGTGCACTGACTTGACTGACTACATGTGCACACCAGCCAGCTTAAAACATCGAACGTCACTAGACCTTCGCGGTGAACAAAGAGTGCGGGGGGGGGGGGGGCATAGTTCCACCAATTGGATTTAATATTGAAATGTGCAGTGAACCGGGCGATCAGGCGACGCGGTGGACGCTGTGATTCCAGCGTTGCCGGTTGCGTTTGTTTTGCTGGCGCATTTGGCCACTAATTTTTTAAATTAATACTTTACAGGTAGAATGTTAAAATTTGAAGAATGATAAAATTAAATTTAAAGTTGTTTGATACTAATTTGGGAGTGCACGTGCACATGTGCTCTTATGGAGGAACCGCCACTGATTTTACCGCTGGTCTAGACTAGCAAGGTCGTTGATAAACACCAAAAATAATACTGGACCCAACACGGAACCCTGTGGAACATCACATTCTATTTGCTTGCATGAAGACATCGTCGTATCAACCCTCACAAGTTGTTTTCTGTTGTTAAGATACGACTTGAACGATTCCAGAGGTGAGCATCGAATTCCATAATACTACAAGCTAGAGAAAACATTATTGAAGACATCAGCATCAATAGTGCATTTGTTGGTTAAAAATCCAAATTGGTGGATAGTTAGGGTTGCCACCTGTCCGGTTTTCACCCGGACTGTCCGGTTTTTTAAAGGTTTGTCCGGTGTCCGGACGCATGATGAAAATGTCCGGGAATATCTGGATTACATAATTAATAATAATTAATACTTGATATAAAATTTATAAAGGCAATTGCCGAACGCCTTAGGCTGTACCCAACTAATTTCTGAACGTTCCTACTTCTTCAATGACGGGTGTGTCACGAACGTCTCCGGTTTCCAGTTAGAGACGGAAAAGTGGACTTTTTCTGCCTAGGCAGAAAAGTTCGTTGCTTCCCAAACTGTAACAAATTCGGAGAAAAAATGATATATGTTTCACACGGCAAAAGATCAGATTTAATGCCTTGGCTGGTTTCCTCGCTTCGCTTTCGGCTATGGAACACTAGTCGTGGCATTAAATATTGTGCTTTTCTGCCCTGCCTAATAAAACAAATATTTATGTATGTATTGTGTCGTTCTCCCTGTTCACTTACAAGGTAACAAGTGTCTCTTTTTATTTTTTTTCAAATTTTAAAAAAGAGCGTAACTACAAGGGGTGGTGTTTGAAATTGAGAAGAGGCCGTCCTCGACCGTATATACTCGGAATAAAGTTATACTGTCTTTCTATTGGTCGGGGTTGGGTTTGATTATCTGTGCTGATTGATAATCAGCTGTTAGGAGTCGGTTTTTCCGTTTATCAACGTGCATAATAACCTTAAAACTATTTTAAATTTTAAAATTGGTAATCGTTCTTTACTTTTTGCGTTCTGTTTTGTGGAAAAAAGAATAGAATGGATCTTTTTCAAGTAAATATTTTTGAATCAGACGACGAGGAGCTTGATGAAGAACTTGTATTAATCCGAAGACCAAGAAATTTCAAAGCAAGTCATCATGATTTTTTTTCTGAGAAAATCCAGAAAACCTGGTTTATGTAAATTAATTATTCTATACCTGAGCTTGAAAGGGTGTACTTGGGTTTACAATTGAATACCTAAAATGACCATAATACGAATACAAATTATACAAAATTCCAAAATATAAGTGATGCCTTTCCATAGTGCAAACACGACGCAAACATAAATAAATTAATATAAACAAGAACAAAAAAGGTAGGTTCAGTTCACAACTCATTTCTTAAACCCTTGCTATTTTACCGGCATCTGTCAAAAAAATGGTTGCCTCGAGTAACTAACTTCACGTTTCTCGGATAATCTCGGAATAACTATACGGCTTTTGTAAAATCATTAGAGAGTTTTCGTTGTCTTTTAAAAACGATTCCGATAGCCGCTATTTGACAAATTTGACATTTGAGCTATCATTTATCGTTATCGTTACCGATAAGTGCCGGGAGTTTACGGACGGAAGACAAAACCATAGCGAAAACGGAAAGCATGCGTATTTCCTATGTTTTTGTTGTGGTTTGTTTTTGTTTTTAAATGTTTTTGGTTTTCGAAATAGATTCAATACTAAATTCCCTCAAAAGATCGAGAAATCGTTTCACGGATGAGGACAATATTATTTCTTATTTCATGTGCAATCGAGTGATCCATCCCGAAAATCTCGCACTATTTTTTATAATTCTGTCCACATAATTTTTTAAGTACAAGCCCTGATGAAGCCCTAAACTTTTGGGCGTAACGTTGGCAAATACTTAACAGGCCTTTTATTTTTTGTCCTAACCGACGAATCACCCCCCTTCATTGGATACCGATAGGACACAAACTTCTCTTTATCATTTATTATTTTAATAGAAGTATGGGCCAACAACCCATATAACGATACATCTATAATTATGCTTTTGTAGTAGCCAATTTTGTAAAGCACACAGGGAAAATTAATGAATTTTGGGTACTAGGAAATTAAAACAAAGTACAAAACGTATATAAATACAAACAATTAAAGAAAGGTTATGTTTGTCGAATTCGACTTAACGTTAAGCGGATTGAACGAAAACTATTTTGACGATCTGTCAAATAGCGACTTTGTCTTCGTATTCGTTATGGTTAACCGTTCGAATTTGGCAATACAACGAAAACTGTCTATTGTCGAACCGGCGGTCAGATATACTCGGGATAAATCAAGGTATAAGATATTCGGGGTATTACAATACTGAGTTTTATACTGCCATTGTCGAACCGGCCCTAAATAAATAAAGTCCACTGATGTAGCCTAGAGTAATACTTTTTGACCGCTTCAAAACAATAGATATTGGGGCTTGCAGGTAGCAAAATCCAAAAGAAACTAGGAGACTGACAATATTTGACAATACTAGGAATTTTATCAATTAAATTTAACTTAGTCATTGTGAATGAATGTAGAAGATACCAAGAATCGAGCCAAGAATTAATATTTAAGAAAATCTTTGTATTTGATAATCCTTCTAATATACATTAATTACTTCATAATGCTATGTTCAAGACAGAAACTAATTTAGGTAGCTAAGAAATATTTTGTTTGGATACCCATGAACCACTTGCAATAAACTATAAGGTGACAGTTTGATCACAGCAGTTTGATTATACCAGTTTAAAAAAAAATAGACTTTAGTAACGCAGTTCATACATAATAATTTCAAGCCAGAACTATATTATCCCTTTTTTTACATAAGGTCTGCCGCCGACACATATGGGGACAATGCTATAGCCTTTGTACAGCTCAAACGGGATGACGGTGTATGCACTGTGAAGGGAAGAATAACTCCAGAGCATAAAATACGCAATACTGCTTACAGAGTTCAAGCAATAATAGACGAAACTACTGAAGAAGACCAGATTTGTGAATGCCTAGACTGCCCAGCATCAGAAGGTAAAAACTACCTATTTAAAACCTAATAAACTTTTTTGTGTCTCAAATATCTAGATTATAGACGGGCCTCTAACTTTTTTAATGTACCTGTCATTAAGAACTAAAAAAAAGAAAAAAAAGCATTGTTTAAATTTTCATTCTTCAAGTTCTATCTTTAGATATCTTTTTTTATGGATTCTGTTTACCTTCTATTTCATTAACTGTTTTGTTTTTGGTTCCAGGTGGCTGTAAACATGGAGTAGCATTTTTATTGTGGCTGCATAGACGAAGTGAAGAACCTTCAGTCACTTCAACACAGTGCTATTGGAAAAAGTCCAACCTTGCCAAAGCAGTACAAATGAATAAAGGGATGATTGAGCTGTGTGACAGAAAACCACCAGTACTTGCTGAAAAAAATGCAAGTTTCCTTCAAGCTGTGTTAGATACTTGCAGTAAGTCAGAAGGTACTCTATTTTCGTTGTTTAAACCAAGCAAATTTGAAGTAACCTCACTGCATCAGATAATGCAAACTTTTTTGGCCTCGGATACTATTCAAAAGGATGCAGAAGCATTTATGTCATTTGCAAAATGCAGGATAACTGATAGTGCTTGCAAAGAAGCAGAAAAAAGTACCCAAAGCCAGTCTGATTCACCTGAATGGTATGAACTTCGGTATGGAAGAATCACTGCTTCCATTGTATATGAAGCATCTCGGTGCAATACATTAGATGGAGCCCCTTCTGAAAAAATTCTGGGAGCTGTGCCGGCCCTTCAGACAAAGGCAGTTCTTAGGGGAAAAGCTCTGGAAGCAGAAGTGTTGAAAGAAGTATCTAAACAACAGAAGCTTAGCATTCAAAAGGCAGGGCTGTACCTGAGAAAAGATTACCCTATTTTTGGGGCCTCTCCAGATGGCATTACAGACGAATTTATCCTGGAAGTTAAATGTCCATCAAAGGAGAAAACCGTTGATAGATACATCCAACAAGGAAAAATAAATATTAAATTTCTTTGTCAAATGCAAATGCTATTTGCGAGAAAAAGGAAGGGCCTTTTTTGTGTTGCATCACCAGCTTTCGAGACCAACAGAAATGTAACAGCCATTGAGGTGGAATATGATGAAAAGCTGATTTCGGATATTTTAAGAAAATCAGAAGAGTTTTGGAAAAATGCTATTTTTCCTGTTTTATCTGGAAACTAATGTAAATATTAATTTTTATAATTAAAGTTTTTTTTTAGTTATAGGTGTATATTTTAATAATAAGGTATTTATTTGTAAAATAGGTGATTCACTATTATTACTTACTATTATTATTAAAGTGATTATCCTTTGCTTTACCATTATTTTTATATACAGTTTTTTTTTTAACTTTCCTGAAATGTAGAGAACAGTAAAACACTTATGGAAATGCAAATAATTTTTAATAAAACTTTATTTTATAAAAAAGTACATATGCGTTTTATATTTCAATCACTTATATTATTATATACATCTTCAAATAGTACATACCTACTTAGAGTCGATACTTTTGATCTCAATTAACGAATTTGGAATGTCGTTAAATTTAACAAGGATTTGCATGGGCGCACATTCAAACCCCTGATTATTTTTAACGGTTGTCAAATTCGAAAACTGAAAACAGAAGTATTGGCACTTGAAGTACTTATTAGTTATTTATGATATAAGTGTTAAAAGTACATTTTTAAGGCACGCATGTGAAAGTTTGCAGAATGAGCGAAGCGAATTCTGCAATTCACATAAGTGCCTTAAAAATACTTTTAACACAAATATCATACAATATTTTTTCTACAAACGGCAATAAAAAGCAATAACCACTAACAAATTGGATTTTTAAATGAATAATAAATTGGAAGCATGTTTCCTACATAAAATTCTTGAATTTGACATTTGTCAAAAAATCCATACAACCAGCACCTTGTTTTACAGGTAACGAAATGTCTGGTCAGTTTCTTGAAAGTATGTCGTGGTCAGGAATGCTTTTTGCTAAAAATGCAACAAAATACAGAAGAAAAAGAGAGTTGCATCGATCCGTCGAAAAATATAGATGAGGCGGCCAATCGGGCTACCTCAGTTGTTCAAATTTCACCATTATTATCAATGTAAATAACTGAAAATACAAACTTTTTTTGACGTCCGCTCTCAAAATTTGATGTTTCACTTTTAACACTAGTGCTATAAAGACTTTATGGCACTAGTGCGATAAAGTAACATTTTTAATGCTTCGGGGCGGTGTTAAAAATTGCATTTTTAACACGTTTGTAGAAAAACATATATTCAATTAACATTTCATAATGCACTTTGCTTACATTAAAACGTACATAATAAAAATAAAAGCTTATCGTATTTATATATTATAAAGATTTAAGGTACCTCACTGTGCACCTTGAAAAAGAAAATAAAAATTTAGGACAAATCAACTAAGCAAATTGTACAGAGTGTTTGTTTATAACTGGAACATTAACTTTTTTATTATTATTGAAAATAAAGGGCATGTTTAAATTGAAAAATCTCTTGGTTATTTACAATGATCCTAATCGCTACAACGATATTTTTTGTCGCCATAGGTATACAGGGTGCGTCAACAAAGTCTTTTTTTTAATGTATATTTTTGCATTTTTGAAAGTCTTGAAAAAGTAGCTTGACAAAAATATCAAACACTATTTGGATAACAAAAATATACAGGGCGTTCCAAAAAAAAAATACAATACAAAAAAATATCGTTGTAGCTCTTAAGGTTACAATTTACCAAAAAAATTTCCAACCTAAACATGCCGTTCATTTTTGATAATTAAAAAAAAACTGAGTGTTCCAGATTTAATTTTGGTTTTTATGTTGGTATAAAAGGTCTGTTCGCACAAAAATCACAAACCAGTGAAAGTGAATTTCATTGGTTGAGAACAGTCAGAAAACTAGTTTCAACCAATGAAATTAATTCTGACTGGTTTGTAATTTTTGTACATACAGACCTAATTTATTTCAATAACATCATATATGTTCCTATATCCTATTTTATTATGGGATTTTGTAAATTCACAAGGGCACATATTATGATAATAATATGATGACTTAAAAATATTAAATTGTGATTAATACACGAATGAGGTTTTGAATAATTAAATTCCCTTAAACGCTTAATTACCCTTTCAATATGAATTCTTAGGGATGCAATCCTTTTACTTTGTTTGACTTCCAGTTTGGTGCTTTTTTTTGTTGTTGATACACTAGGGGCCGATACTTTTGCTCTCGATTAACGAATTTGATACGTTGTCAAAGTTTTGCATGGGCCAAGGTCTATAAATATGATGTGGTTAGAGCACATTCTAACCTCTGACAATTTTTAACGGCTGTCAAATCAGAGCAAAAGTACCGGCACTAAGAGGCCTTAATAACAGACATCCCTTGTTTTGTAATAAATAATCGATATGCTTGAATCCTCTGTCAGCCAAAACTTGGCAGTTGTCAGGTAAATGCTCGAGATATTTACTCTGCTCTACTATCGTTTTGTCACTAATTCTTCCAGGATAGGGTTCAGAAATGAAATTTATAAAACCATTTGGTGTGCTCGATATTAAAATTTTTATGGTATTACATTGTTTGTAATCAGACCAAGTACTTGCCTGAATAACTGGAGCTGATGGCTTTTCAATTTCGATTTCAAAGCAGTCTATTATGCTTTGTACTTTAGCATACCTTGCTCGAAATGGTAATGGTAGAAGTTTAACAATAGTTTTAGAGACAGGCCAGAAAATTAAATTTTGTAATAAATCGGCTATTTTTGGAACAGTTTGTACAAAAATATTGTGAATTTGAGAAGTACTTACACCAAACTCTAATGCAAGTTTGAAATATGGTTCATCAAGTCTTATTTTTCGTAACGTTATTAATACATGATTAAATTGCAGACTACCTTGTTCACAAATTAATTGAATTATATTGGAGGATTCTTTTGGTACTCCAAGGAAAAATCTTGAATGAAGTTTACACAATAATATTGATGTTCTTCTTCTGTCCTCCTTTAACTGTTTGCTCATGACATCTTTAACGTCTTCACTTCCTGTCCATGTTCCGGTGGATGTTGAAGATTTTGCTGAAAAATCACTAACCTCTTGACTTGTCTCTGAACTCAAAGATATTGAAGGTGATCCTTTCACGCAGGGCCAACCTATTTCATCACATAAACTTCTTTTTGGAGGAAAAATTGAAGTTTTCGTTTCCACCCCAACCTTGGCTGTAACTATGTTTGTAGCTACACTTCTGAATTTGGGTCTCAATTTGCACTGCACGGCTACTGATTTGAAAGCATGTTTTTCTGCGCTCGACATTGACACTTCAAACACCCCAGATGGAGAACTTACAAACTGCTGTTTAGGTTCTGGTCTAGACGGGGACTCACTTTCAACAAATAACTGCCGAACAACTGACTTTGATGAACCAGGTTGTGTAGGCGGCATCTCAATTATTAATTTCTTTTTAGCTAGATTTGAAATATTTTCCATCTTTCTCTTTTTTGCTGAGTCTGTAAGCACTGGTGGCACATAGCTGCTGGCTCTAGCATTAATAAGTTTATGGGGTACTACATCTGGTTTTAGTACTAAGCGGCGTCCCATTGTTTTATAGTACATCCAGTTTTCAGCGTCTTGCTCTAACTAAAAAAAATAAAAAATAATTCATTGGAACAAGTCAAGAATGAATTTAGGCAAAAAATTATTCCTGTGATGAATTTAACTCATAATTTGTATCTTTTTTAGTATTTCACATCTACTTTCTCAAAAGCTGATTTAATCATATCTATTGTTTATGGAGGTGGCTCAAGGGCGTACGTACAAAATATTTGGTACCTTGTAACCTACTGTAAATTAGTTTCTATCTTGAGTATAGCATTATGAAGGAATAACTGATACATATAAAGAATTTTTTAAAAATTATTCTGGGTATAGTCTACATTCACAATTAATAAATTAGATTCGAATACTCTAACTTATAAAATTCCTAGTATTGTCAGGGCTTATAGAAGCAAAACTCAGGTAAATGGCATTTACCTGGGTCTTGCCCCTACATAAAATTTCAATGTTTCCCCTCGTTTTTATTCTAATTGGTGACTTCAGGCTTTGCTTCAGGCCAAGCTTTACCCATGACAAAGAATGAGTAAGCTATCTTTGATTAGAGAATGGAAAATGACAGAATGGTAAATCCATTGATAAAATTTGATGAGAATAAAAACTCAGGGTTTTTTTATGATTATTTCACTCATTATGAAATAGACCAATCAGACAATGTCAATTTTTGAATAAATTTTGTTTATTTAAGTGATTTTAATCACAAGAGCTTGTTTATTCGTGATTAAATTTTTTTTGACAAAATCTTAATAGAAATACTATGACATTTTTTAATAAATAGAACTCTTTGTTGTTGGCTTTACTCTTAATTATTCAGGAAATAATCTAGCCTTATACCACTCATTCTATAAATTTTATGGATCAAATTATCCAAATATGATAATGCTTTTTTACAAACAGTCTTATGCACAATAACTTCTAAATATTATTAAGTTGTGCATTCAACTATTTTTCAAGCAGAATCATGTTTAATGTTGGATAAATTAATCAATTAAATTTAAAAGTCTTGTGGCAAAATCAAGTTAGGTTGGCGTGAAAAACTATTATTTATTTATTCAAACTCTTGCTACCCCTATGATGCCTATCACTTTTTCTTTTCTTTTGTATCTGCTACCTGAGAGCCCAAATATCTATTGTTCTAGAGCAGTCAAAAGTTCTAATAGGGTGAGTGCCTCTATTGCTAAATCAGTAGGTTTTTTTTGATATGTAAATGACAGAAAAACCAATCGAAAAGCAGGACAGGTAGAGATTTTTATTTACTCTGTATGGGATCTAAGTAGGGGATGAAAATTGGTCAAGTATGATTATAACAGCTTTTTGAAAAGTTACTATGTATAAAGAAATCCAGATTTTACCAAGTAAAGGCATATTCTACTAACTGTAACCTATTTCACATAAAAATGATTGGTAGGATCTTCTATATTCTCTTAATTAGCTATATTGTTGCATATAACTAGTAAAACTACTAATAAAACACAACTTACATCAAAGTGATCCTCACAACAAAATACTTCCGGGTGGTTGGTCATGCGAACTTTTATATTCCCAGCTTTCCACCATTTC